GGGGGGTTGTCGTTGACGTCCTGCACCGTCACGTTGACCCGCAGGTGGCCCCGCCGCCGGGGCTCGCCCCTGTCCTCCACCTCCACCAGCAGCTGGTAGTGCGGCGTGGCCTCCCGGTCCAGCCCGCCCTGGGACACGAGGTGCAGGAAGGCGCCCTCGCCGCTGGGGTTCAGGGTGACGTCCAGGCGGAAGCGGCCCGCCTCGTTGCCCCGCACGATGCGGTAGGAACGGTGGTCCACGCCGTTGGAGCCGATGTCCGCGTCGGTGGCCGTGTCCAGGATGACCTGGCGCCCGCTGCTACTGTCCTCCTTGAAGGTGACCACGATGGAGGGGTCCGGGAAGACCGGGGCGTTGTCGTTGACGTCCTGCACCAGCACTCGCACCTCGGTGGGGTAGGTGGGCGCGCTGGACAGCACCACCAGGTTGACCACGTCGCTGGGCAGGCTCTCCCGGTCGATGGTGGCCGTGGTGTACAGGGCGCCGGTGCTGCTGTTGATGGCGAACAGGGCGTGGCTCTCGCTGAGCCGGTAGGTGAAGCCGGGGCGCGTCTGGATGGTCCCCACCAGCGTGCCCGGCGGCTGCTCCTCCATCACCTGGAACACCTGGCGGGGCTCGGCCCCGCGGGCAGGGCCGGGCGCCGGGAGCAGCGTGGGGCTGGCGTGACCCTGGGCGAGCAGCTGGCCGCGTGTGCCCACGCGTGTCCACGCGGCTTGACCAGGCTCTGGCGAGAAGGGCAGGGGGCCTGGGCGGGTGGAGCCTGTCCTTAGGCCCGTCTGGTGCTCACGGCCCATTTATAGGGCGGCGGTCACCCCGCGTCACTGGGGAGCTGCAGTGGCCCTGCGTGTCTGTCCCCGCTTCTCTGTGCAGGGTCCTCCCTAGGAGCGGGCCGGGGCGCCCCGAGTGACGGGTGGGGTCAGGCGAGTGGGGGCAGCCTCCGTCCCCTGCGCTCGGGAGGCCTCGGGGCTGCACCCCCCGGGCTGCGTCTCTGCTTGGGTGACGCGGGGGCTGGAGCCCCGAGGACTCAGGCCCCAGAGGCGGGAGCTGGCTGGAGGTCGGGATCTGTCGGGTGGGGCCGAGAGCAGCCCCAGCAGCGGTCCAGGGAAGAGGCTTATGGGGCAGTTGCCGGACGGGACTCCCGGGAGGCGGGGCCGTGCCAGGGGAGTGCAGGGTGGTGGTGGGGGACGGTTGGAGCTGGGACAGCAAGGTGGGTCCAGGCGACCCCCGATCTGCAACACGGGGAACGTGGGTGGAGCCCTGTTGCCGTGACAACCGCCTCCTCCTGGACGCTGTCAGTAGGCTGCAAGGGCGGGCCTGGGGCCCCTGCGCTGCCCACGCCGGCCCAATAGGGCCAAGGGCCAGCGGTCTCTGAACCCGCCGTCCCCGCTCGGTGCACCGCAGGTGTTGGCCTGGCAGGTGGTGCCCCGCGTTGGCCCCCAGTGGCCTGTGGACCCGGGGCGGCGGTCAGCTGCAGGAGTCCACTCCCACCGGGCCAAGTCCCTGCAGGGAGAGGAACAGGCGCCACGCGACCCCGGCTGTGATGGCAGGAAGCGGAGCCGCTGGCCAGGGGCTCGGGTGGTCACTGAGGCCTCGGCCTGGCCCTGTTGCGCCCTAGGAGGAGCCCGGGAGAGAGGACGCTCAGCAGCAGGACGGCGCCCCGCCCCCCCGGGACTCGGCCTACCACTCCAGAGGGGGGCGCAGGGCGGCCCCCACCCAGCGGCTGCCGGACAGCCCCACCGGTGAGGCTCCCGCAGCGGCCGGCCTGGCCCCCGCCTCTCCACCGGGCCGGGCCGGGCTGGGGTCTCAGTCCCGCGTGTCTGTCCAGAAGGTGACGTGTACAAGGCGCGGACCCCTCACAGGGAGGCCCTGGGGGCGCCGGACGTCAAGGAGGAGCTGGCCGAGCAGGCGGAGGTGCCCCTGGACCAGGTGGGCCGGCCTGCGGCCCGAGACCAAGCCCGGGCCCCCCCGGCCAACACCGGGTCTCCCTGGGCTCCCTTCGGGGCCCACCCACGTCCTCCCAGCCTCTAGACTGTCCCGCTGCCTCCAGTGAGCTCCTGCTCACCCTTCAGCCCCCCACGGGCCTCCCTGCCTGGACCCTTTTGGGCGTCAGGCCGTGTGGCCCGGGGCGCGGTCTCCCCCGTCACTGCCCCGGGCCCTGGGGAGCAGCCGGCTGCTCGCTCGCTGGCGTGGTCCCGGCCCGGGTGGGGTCAGGGTGGCCCCAGAGGCGGCAGCTGTGGGGGGTGGATGCGGCTGCGGGGTTCTCCTGAGGCTGCCGAGGTCCAGGGCCAGCGGGTGGCTGGCCACGTCCTGCATGGAGGCCACGGCCCAGCGTGGGCCGCAGCCGCACCCCGCAGTGGGGAAGGAGCCGCCTGGGCCCTGTCCTCCGGGGTGCCGACCTCGGACCTGAGCGCTCTGTGCCCCCCAGATGCCCGCCGAGGTGGTCAGAGAGGAGGAGCTGGCCCAGGAGCAGCCCGCGGGCCCGGGGAGCAGCCAGGTGGGTCTGCGGCCTGTCGCTGAGGGGCGGCGCGGTCCCTGCGCGTTGGTCGGGGTCGGGGGTGAACGC